GAGTGTATATAATAAATATGCACCACTTGATATTATTTTTGGTATATTTAATAAGTTTTCAGTATTAAGTCACCATTACCAGCTACATGAATTAGAACTAATTGAGGATTCATTTAATTATGTATCACAGCCTTACAAAATGGAGAACAGCAATCTCCAATTTATAGCTCATGGTAGTTTGAACTTTATTATGCAGCCCACAAGGGATCATTAAATAGTTCTGAAACCTTTGGAAGTTTTCAGAACTTTGAGTAAATGTTTAAAAATATTGTAGCATTATTATTTAGATAATCATATATGTATTGTGTAAAATGAGGTGTGTATATACTGTTTTATAGATTTAGAATATTATTTGTATTGTACAGTGATTAAAAAGCAGAAGATTACCATTCTCAATTTCAACAGGATCAGCTGTACCACATCAACGTTTGTGGGCAAGTGAATGAAGGAAGGCACTATCATTGTCCTCCAGGACCTATTGGTGCTTGCCAGACCAGCTTTGATGCCTTGACAGCCCACAACCTGGGTTTCCTTACTTCACATCCAAGCATTAATGAGGATGGTTCTATTACCATTACATACACAGGTCAGGCTTTTTTGAATATCAAGAAATGTAGTTTATAAAAGAATTATTTTTTGTATTGAAGACCAGTATAAAATGGAGTTGTATTTTTTATTTAAGTCTTCATTAGTGTCTGTTGTGGGAGGGACATTTGAACCTGTGCCTCCATTCCATATTCCTTTGTGTTCAAATTAAAGAAAGTCATTGGCAAGTCATTCACCTCAAGAATTTAACAGGCAGTAATTATCATGTGGTTTTGAATTTAATGTTGACAGCTCTCATGCATGTAGAGTGTTGGAAGGTTATGATGTATAGAGATATAAGAAGATATGCAGTAGTTTGGGATTTGTTATGAACTGCAGAAATGCATGCAAAGATTTATGGAAAAATTACTAGTGTGATAGGGCCTTTAGGATATTTTCTTTTCTAAGATTCAATCAATAATTGATTGATTTTTAATATATATTCCTTCAGTTTTTAATTCCTTACTTTTACCTTTTGGAAAGGAGTTGATTTCCTTTATTTTTTGTGTGAATATTCTTACTTCTGGTACCTAAAATGCTTATTCTTATCTACAGGTGGAGATCAATGTCAGGAAGGAAAACATGCGCGCTCTACAAGAATCAACTTAATTTGTAATGACATTGAATATGAACCAGTATTGGTAGAAGAAACTGGTACCTGTGAATACATATTCACATGGTTAACACCAGCTGCTTGTCCACGTCACTTAAAAAAAGGGACAAATTGTCTCGTAGAAGATCCTCTTTATGGAAATATGTATGATCTAAATCCATTGAGAAATCAAATTAAAGATTATAATGTTACTGATGGAGAGCATGACTATTTGATAAATATTTGTGGACCCCTTGTATCAAAATGCAAAGGAGAGGGCCAATCTGGTGTTTGTCAAATCAAAGGAGATGAACAGTTTAGTGGAGGAATGGCTACTAGTAACATCACATTTAATGATGGGACATTAGTGATGAATTACAATGGTGGAACTGGAGGCTGTGCAGGCAATAATACTAGATCTGCCCAAATAATTTTCTTATGTGATCAGAATGAAAGTGGCAGAGATGGTCCTCACTTCTTCCATGAAGATGAAACTTGTACATATCACTTTACTTGGCTGACAATGCATGCATGCCCTCCATTTAGTGTTGTAGACTGCAGTGTAGTTACAGCTAATGGGACAATTTATGACCTTAATGAATTGTCATCATCCAGTATGAATGAAGAATATTCTACATCAGATGGAAATAAAAAGTTTGTATTGAACGTTTGTAGGTCAGTTGTCCATAACAAAGAGAGTAGGTGTCCGTACAATGCAGGGGCATGTGTAATTGATTTGAAGCACAAAAATAAGGCATTGAATATCGGGAAGGTTCACAGTGGACCATATATAGAGAATGGCAATTTGAAAATAAAGTACAGTGGTGGCGATCCATGTGGTAATTCTACCCAGCTTTCAGAAACTATTATTCAGTTCAACTGTGATAAGGAAGAGCTTTATGCATATCCACAGCTGGTAGCACAAGAGGGTTGCAAATACATATTTGAATGGAACACACCTATTGCATGTCCCATGCCACTTATAGACCATACCACAAGTGCTCCAGAAACCAAGGGTAATTGTACTGCTAAAAATGATTTTACTGGCTATGTCTTTAACCTGAATCCTTTAAAAAAGAAAACAGGCTATGAAATTCAGGATAGTGGTGAAGTCCATCTTGTTTTAAATGTCTGTGATGAAGTTGATACAGAAAGATGTCCAGACAAGGGAACAGGAGCTTGTTCTTATACCCATGATGACCATACAAATATTGCAAGTGCTGGTAAAGCAAATGCAAAACTGCAGTATCACCTTGGTTTTCTTTCCCTTTATTATACTGGTGGACAAGCTTGTGGAAATGGAGAAAAACGTTCCACTCTTATAAGCTTTATATGTGGAGCTGAAGATGCACCAGATATACCTGTCCTTATACACGAAGATCTAGATAAATGTATCTATTATATCAACTGGTATACTGACTTGGCTTGTGAACGTAGGATCAATTGCTTTGTGGATACATGGGAACAGCGCCTGGACTTGACACCTCTGATCAGGTCAACTAGCAACTATGAAGTTTCAAATCCTGAGAATCCAAAGCAGAAGTTTTACTTAAATGTTTGCAGGCCACTCAACCATATTGTTGGCCTGAACTGTCGCCCAGGTTCCTCTGCATGTCTTTCTGTGTCAGAGTCGGAAGCCTTAAGTCTTGGCCAACCAATTACAACTCCGCAATATATATATTCAGATGAAATTCAAATGATATATTCTCATGGATCTAAGTGCTTAACAAACTCTGACATAGGAATTTCTTCACGAATCATATTTATTTGTGATGTAAATGCAGGCAAGGTAATATATAAATGTGTTCATAAAATTTTAGTTGCTGATAATTTCTTTGCTATATATTTTTTAATATGAACTATATGTCATTTGGTAATTCCTTTCATAGTCATTTCTAATAAAGTTCTTCTTTTTCAGGGAAGCCCAACATACAAAAATGTAACCCATGATTGCCAGTACCTATTTGAGTGGCGAACAGCACTTGCATGTGAAAACCGCCAAGAAGTTACTGATTCAGGCCCAGTGTGCCAAATCCAGTTTAATGCTGCAAAAACAAATGTGAATCTGAAACCTTTGAACAGACCAGATGGATATTCTGTTAAGTTTGCAGATAAGGAGTACAAAATTAATATTTGTGGGGCAGCCTGTGGTGAATCTGGTGTATGCACAAGTGATGGAACTAGCTTTGGTCTGAGCAGTAAGTCTGACTTAAATTGGGATTATGACAAGTTGAAGCTCATGTACTATGGTGGTGACAGTTGCAGTGATGCACTGTCAGGACAAAGAACCACAATCATATACTTTTCATGTAATATGAGTGTGGGATTAGGATACCCAGTTCCTGATCCAATAATGAGGGACCTAGAATGTGCGGCAATATTCAACTGGGAAACAAATTTAACCTGTATTGAAGCCATTTACAATATGGATGACTCTTCTGACAAGAAACCAATAAATTCTGACCCAGTTGTACCAGACAGTGAATCTCATGAAGCTGAAAAACCTTCTGTTGAAGAAAGCGATAGTGATAACCCTTCTGCAGACCAACAGCAAAAGGAACCAGAGAGTGCATATTCAACAGTATCTGCTGCCATTTCCAGTGTCCTCATTGTCACAGGAATCATTTTTGTGATTATCCTGGTTTTGTTCAAGTCTGAGCGGGGACAGCAAGTTGTGTCATCTGCCAGGAGATTCTTCGGCATGAGAGGGTATTCAAACATAACCCAGTCACGCATGGAAAATTCCTCGCTTATAAGCCCATCCTCCTATGCTAGAGTGTACAGAGTGGATGAAAGTGATGATGATCTTCTTAATGTAGTAACATAAAACTAGGCAATGTACTACTGTATTTGCATAAAAGAAAATGATATTCCACATCAAAGAATTAATAAGGCGGTTTATAAATGAAATAATTCTGTTTTAGTGATAAACTCAATCTTGTGGATATTAATTTCAGCTTTCTTTTATGCAAATAATAAGGGTGTATGCAGAAAGTATTTAACCAAACAACCATTAACTCTGGGTAAGAAAATTCTAATATTCCTTAATAGCACAATCATATATTTCATAAAAATGTATTTTTGAGCACCATGGTAACTAATATATGGTAATTTGTAGTTACAACACTAATATATTTGAACTTCATTATATATATATATATATATATATATATATATATATATATATATATGTATGTTATGTAATATATACACATACGCGCACACACACTTACGCACTCGCCCACACACATACACGCGCGCCGCACACACACACCACACACACACACACACCACACACACACAACGCGCGACACACGCGCACACACACAACACACACACACACACACACACACACACACACACACACACACACACACACACACACACACACATACACACACACACACATATATATAATATGTGTATATATATGATACTGATATTTATAACACACCTCTATATTTGCTTATGTATGAAGCTAGAAATCTGTCTTGGCTGAGGTGAAGGGGCACTCTGTGTTGGATTGTCTGAAGATAAGCCTTAACATTTTTGCAAAGGTTATATTGTGAAAGCAAATATTTACGGGCTTTATACTCCAGGAAGAGCCCTGAGACTCTCTACAGTGTAATTTGATCACTAGTTCTTTGTTAATACGAGACTGAAAGGCCTATGCCTTAAGTGAAAGATCAGTAGAGCAACAAAGATCATGTTTTGGATATTATTCTTTCAGATATTATGCACTATGTTATCAAGTAAAGCACAAACCCTCCTATTAACAGTATATGGCACTTACCTTTGTTGTTAGCATAAGAGGAAGGTAATGTTATCTTGCACTGCTTTATAGTTGTTCAGTAATCTGTCACTGGGTAATTTGTGAAGTAGTGGAAAGCAACTGATAATAGGGAATATCTCATTCTGATTTTTGTTATGGGATTTTGTAACTGCTGTGACTACTATTTTCCAAAAACCTGAACTATCTAACTATTGTAATCTTAAAGGTAATCCTGAAATGCATTCTTATGATATTCCTATTAATATATCACCTGTGATATTACCTTCCTTGGCAAGCAGTTTATCAAGCAGTTTGCAGTTTTTATGTTGAAATTATTGGAGTTCATTTGAACTGTGAGGCTCCGGCAGGGTTTGTGCATAAAGCTTGTGATGTAGTTAACTTAGTGTAGAAACTCACATCATGAGAAGAGCTTTGGTGACCAACAGAATCATTTTGTTCAGTCACATAGATTTACTTTGTATGTACAACAGTAATATCACCAGATTTTTAGGAAGGGTATTTAGTAGTCTCATGTGTAAAAATAATAGCATAGGAGTTAATGAAAACATTGAGTAACTTTATAATAGTTTTGTTGATAAGGTAGCAGATACATTCAGTAAAGTAGGTGATTTTCAAATGCACATAATTGATCAGAGTACACTAGATTGAAGATGAGTTAGACTTTCTACTGGTACATGGTTCAGTACAACTTACATACTTATTGTTGTTTATAAACGTTTTTTTTTTTTTTTTTTTATATAATTCATCATTATACTTGAAAGATCATTTAGTAGTAGGGTATATAGGATTTTTAATTGATGTCTTATAAACATGTTGATTTTGATGTGAAAATGTACCTGATGGACAAGTTGAGTGGTTAGTTTAACATTTTGGAAAATTGTGTATTACTTGAGTTATTCATTTCTATAAGAACTGTTATTAATAATTTGCTTGCTTTTTATATGTATTTTCAAGCTTTAACTTTCTCTTGCACTGCTACTGTATTTTTTGCATTTTTCTAATCTTCTCTTTAGGTAGTTGCTTTGGGATGGTAACCAAACTATTATGACTTAAAGTACTAATTCAGCATACCAGTATGGTGTTAGTGACTTTGTGTTGTGTTCTGAATGAGGTCAGTTACAGCTGCATTTGGGATGTTGATTGGAAATAGCAGTCATAAAGTTTCAATACTAATAAAATTAATTATTACAAGTTATTGGGTAGCTTGAATTGATTAAAAAAAAAAAAAAAAAAAAAAAATCACATGTTATACCAGTTGTAAAATGTTTTGTATGTATTGTTTTGTATATATTTTGAAAGGAACCCAGAACACATTATTATTATATGCAGTCACTATGAAGGAAATGTCTTTCAAATTGTTTGGAATCTATATTTTTCAATGCATCATATTTTTATATTATTATTTGGAGGTATATACTTATTTCCATGTTCTTTCAGTTGTTTGCATTTAAAGCTGGTCATTGTTTTATTGTTTAGAATTTGTATTTTCCAGTATCCAAAATTGGCACAAAAGCTGAAACATTATTTTTTGATACGTTCTTTTTTCACTCTTCACATGCTCTTGTTCTTTATTTTTGTTCTTCAAAAAGCACATTGACATGATCAGAATTTAATTTTGAATAATATGTTTTGCATTTCTTGTTCTAGCACCTCCACTCTGCTCTTGGATGACATGATGTAAAACACCAGCATCTACATGGTAAAGTGGAATTCGACGGGTGGGTAATGTTATGTTATTTATTCATCTTAAAGTAGGTTGTGCATCACTACAATATCTGTAGTGATTTATTTTGTTATAGAACTGTATTATCATATTGTTGATTTGAAGATCCAATATTAAAAAGATTATCAGTGATAAAGTAATGAGCTATATTGCATATACATATATGCTGATTATGTATTTTTAGTTGTCCTTTGTTTGAAATGTGGATATATACCCTTCTTGTTTTATGTAGCAAGAAAACAAACTGCTATATATTTACAGTAGATGGCTGAATCTTAAGACTAATTAGTTATGATAAATACGTATTTGAAAATCATTGTGATTACCTTGTTTTAAATTAGGGCATTGTCATTAAACTATTTAACAGTGTTTGCTTTTATTAGCTTCTAACTCAGTGTTTTGTTAGATTGCTGGAATTTGTTGTTTTTTGTTTTGTTTGAATATTACATTACATTGTCTTTGAAGTAGTCATTGTTGTTGCTCAGCAACCTCATATAATGTAAAGTCAAAGACTGCTTTTCTAAGGAAAGAATATAAAATTTGTAACATAACAGTTTTAATTTACTTATGTATGAGATGAATTGCTCTGCCTACAGGAGATTTTTCTTGAACAATATTTCAAAATTAATTAATATGTATGAATGCTTTTATATAATTTTACATAGACTAGAAGTTTCCAGACCCTTTTTGTGTTCACAGTCATTTCCTTATGTAATGTCATGGGAAGCTAAGTTTGAAACAACAGAGGGCACGAGTACTGTAGAATAGAATTCAAAATTTGCAAGGATATTGAAGATTAACATATTAGATATGATTATTTTTAATTATTTATTTAGAAAACTCAGTTTAAAGACAGATAATTTGAAATAAAATCCGCTTATAAGATGTCCTGACTAACATATATATTTGTAAAGGTTATTTTGGTGCTCATGATGTAATTAATGCTAGTCTTTGCAGGAGTAATAAGATGAAGAATAGTAGCCTTGCTATATAAATAAGAAAAATATGCAAAAACACACACATACACGTACACATACGTACACATGCGCACGCATACGCCACACACACACACACACACACACACACACACACACACACACACACACACACACACACACACACACACACCAGCACACACACACACACACGTACACCACACACACACACACACACACACGTACACCAGCACACACACACACACACACGTACACCAGCACACACACACACACACACACACGTACACCAGCACACACACACACAACACGTACACCAGCACACACACAACACACACACGTACACCAGCACACACACACAACACACGTACACGCACACAACACACACACACACACACGTACACCAGCACACACACACACACACACACACGTACACCAGCACACACACACACAACACCGTCACACACACACACACACACACACACGTACACAGCACACACACACACACGTACACCACACACACACACACGTGCACCAGCATACCCTCGCACACGTACACCAGCACACCCCCACACACGTACACCAGCACACCCACACACACGTACACCAGCCACACACACACAACACACGTAACCAGCACACACACACACACACACACACACACGTACACCAGCACACACACACACACACGTACACCAGCACACACACACACACACACACGTACACCAGCACACACACACACACACGTACACCAGCACACACACACACACACGTACACCAGCACACACACAACACGTACACCAGCAACACACACAACACACAACACGTACACAGCACACACACACACAGTACACCAGCACACACACACACACGTTACACCAACAACACACACACCGTGCACCAGCATACCCTGCACACGTACACCAGCATACACACACGTACACCACACCCACACACACGTACACCAGCAACCCACACACGTACACCAGCACACACACACACGTATAACAGCACACACCACACACACCGTACACCAGCACCACACACACGTACACCAGCACACACATCCCACAACACACGTATACCAGCACACCCACACCCACACACACATGCACACAGATAAATAAATAAAAGAAAATATAGAAGCAACATATTTATGTAAATGAAATATGCATTTATGTATTGCTGCAAGTTTTTTTATAATAATAATAATAATAATAATAATAATAATAAAAATAAAAATCCACGTAGACTAGTCATGTTGATACCAAGTTCACCCACTAGTCTATCCAATTTTTCATCTCTTATAGTGGACATCAAAAGTAAGTGAGTGTGGCTTATTATCCTTTTCCAATATGTTCATACCTCATGCAATTTTAAGACTACCGAGTACAAGGACTGTATATACCCAAGGGAGGAATATACTGTCTCACTGATATGCTTTCCTGGTTAACTCCTGAATGAAATAAGGCATCAGTTATGAATCTCCTCTTTTTCTGATTTATTTTGCCTCAAGTGGAACACAAATGAATTATCATTTACATTTGCAGATTTTAAGAAATAGGTATATTTTGCCATTATAAAGAAATAAAATTGAAAACTAGTTCTTTAGGGCCCACTTTTCTGGTCTTTACAAGATGAAGAGGAGTTAGTCATTTACTAAAGCTTAGGTTGCAATAATAGAATTTTTCTCACATTTTGTTGTTGTGTATGTGTAAACTTGTGCTTTTATTTAGCAATGTCTCTTTTGTCATGGTATGTTACTGCTGACTATTGGCATTGAGACTATTACTTGCAGTTAGCAATTAAAATGCAATACTAGTAGTTAAACATATACTTAACTTCCTTCCTGATAAACATCATTATTTAAATATTTCTTTCCATGACATCCAAATTATATAATATGATCTAACAAGAATCAGGAGTTAGTAACATACACAAATATTCAGATACTTCTGTTTCAAGATAAAAGACAAGATATTAAAAAAAAAAAAAATGTTTGATATAGAATAAGATAATTTCTTTGATTTTTGTTGATCAATAAGCAAACAATGTTTACTGTGTTAGGTCTTCAGTAAACCTGGAAGTCTTGTAGTGATATTCAATCTTTCCAGTATAGGCTATTTTCTTTTTATGTTGTGATCTTGTGATGTTTGTATATAAGGAATATACCTGTATATCCAGAGTGTGGTCATTTACCTATTTAAAGTTGAATTGGAGGTTATTTATCTATAAATTTTGAGTGTTGAGTGCCTGCCTCACATATAGTATATGTAGTTGTGATGATTTTTAGGATACACAAAAAAAAGTCACACGCACAGGCATATGCATATACATAACACAAGCACTCACTCAATTAGACTTACACTCACTCACTATCAGTTAATCACTCATCATTACTCATTTACTCATATGCACTTAGCCACCCATGCACATTCATCGACACTCATCCATCCACATGTTCATCTACCTAGACACTCACCCATGCACATGTTCATCCAAGAAACTCACCCATGTACATGTTCATCCACCCAGACACTCACCCATGCACATATTCATCCACCAAGAAACTCACCCATGCACATGTTCATCCACCCAGAAACTCACCCATGCACATGTTCATCCACACTTACACTCACTTGGTCACCACTCACTCAGTTACCACTCACCCCCCCCACACACACACACATGCTCTCATACACACACATGCTCTCACACACACACATGCTCTCACACACACTCATGCTCTCACACACACTCATGCTCTCACACACACTCATGCTCTCACACACACACATGCTTTCACACACACGTATGCTTTCACACACAATCTTTTACACACACACACATGCTCACACTCATACACACCTATATACACCAGCAATCATATTTATTCATAAGAGGCTTATGAGTGTTATCTTAGGTAATTTCTAATTGAATATGTGTATATAATGGAACTATGGTCATTGCTTCTCTGTATTATGAAATATTTGCTACTGTAAAAATGGCATATGATTTCTATATTATGAATCTTTGTTGAAGTTTCCATACAAAATCTCCCAATATTTCATTAGATGGTCTTGATTTTTTATTCTTAAAAGTGAAAAAAAATATATAAGTAATATGAACATGTTTATAGCATGTAAAAATAAACATGGGACACATGCACAGAATAAATTGTATTTTACTTACATCATACTTAGGCAATATCTGCACACCCATACACTTTGAACGAGTGTAGATTATACCAAAGGATCTACTGTACTCTTGGTATTAGCATAATTTCAAAAGCTTGCTGCAAGAAAGTGCCTTCAATGTTTACTTTTTAAAGCTATGATGGGTTTGAGCTAATGAAGTCATGGCATATTTCAGTTTTCATGTTTATTTTTTGGAGAAAAAAAATATTTTGTTTTGCTTGCAATCTATAACTAGAAATTACAGTAAGGCAACTTGTAGTAGTAACTATAGAATATGGTATTACTCTGATGCAAACAATTTGGTTTCATTGAAGTTAAAATCTTAAATATTCAGTGCTGTTATACATTCCAGGGTAAACATTCTCCATGAAGGAATTTGCAAGTTTTTGAAGTTAACAATATTACCTAGATGAAAACAAAATATGCAGAAATACCTTCTTCCATTATGTAAATTCCAAAGGCTGTGTATGAGACAAATAAACATGTAAAATTATATATACTTTTATTAACACAAAATAATCAAAAGCATAGGAGAATCCTGTGTTGCATACAATTTTACATCTGTTACTAGAGAACACAAGCAGATGTGCCAGGAGCAAAAAGTTTTATATTCTTGTCTTCCATTTTGTATTGAAAATGTACAACTTTAGGCAAACAAAGATGGGGTTTCTGACGGTCATATAGTATCAATTTAAGGTCCCCGTGAACTTCTCTTGAGAGTCCTGTGCTAAGGCCACGAACTGATAAGTGCACTATGGCATTGTGTGCAATTGAATTTGTTACATGGCTTATATCTTCATCTTTCTCATCATAATTTGTTACAAAAACCAATAATCCAATTGGCTTTGCAGAGGAGTGATTTATAAGACTCCTGCAATACTGAATAAAGATGTCCAGATCTTTTGTAGTAACACCAAGTGAAAGTAGGGAAGTTATACTGTCTATTATCAAGAGAAAGTACTTTTCTTTCCAAACCTTTACTGTTTCCTTTATTAAGCAGTATAAGTTCTTAAGTGGATACTTGGAGTTCTCCATAAGAAAGCCAAAAGGATGATCAGAAATATCTTCTACAACTCCATCAATGACTTCAGAAGTCATCTTCAATCCCTCAATAACTTTCACATTACCTTTTTCTGAGTGTTGTCTTAAATTTACACCTAATTTGTTCCCAATGTTACAATAATGGCTCCAAGTTTGTTGCAGAGTAACAAAACATATTGGATGGTTATTTGAAACACCCCAAGAAAGAAAATGAGACACCAGTCCATTTGCAGAGGCTGTTGCAGTCTCCGATACCAAAATCATCCCACCATTTTCTAAAGTTACACCACTGCCTCCTAATGCATTCTTCACCGATTCAAACATCCTGTTAAAATAGAAAGCTTGATTAGTATATGAAATACAAGATAATTTCAAATTATTTACTAGTTAAATAATGGGTTAAAAAAACAAAACAAACAAATTGTTGCATAATATATTGGAGAAGATCCCCCCCCCAGTCCCATACCTGTTGCTGCTGAGGGGGGGGGATTAGCAGATGGGGACTGAGGCTCACTCCAGCCTTGGACCTCAGCCCTCATCTCAACAAATTTTACATGGTCTTTTCTCCTCCTCTCCTTTCCCTTCTCTTCATCCCCTCTATCTGTCCACATCCTAA